AGTTTTTTTTTGTCCTTGCAGAAAACACGACTTTTAACTAGTCACAAAAATCATTTAATTAGCGACAAATTTCCAAGGGTCCTGCAAACTACGCCCCACTGCCTTACTGAGCAGCAAAAACAATGCCACATGTTGCGATTACATTGATCACCATCTGGTCCAGCATGGCGGTGTCCCTCTGCCGACAGGGTTATGTGTTGCATGTGCGTGTGGCGCCAAAAAACGTTTACCCACCCTTTTCGAAATAAAATATATATAATACAAGCCCTCGAGCACCATAATACTTTTATTTATTGCCGTATGTATTACCTATATACCAACCAACGTGCAATTACCCGTAATCGTTTGAACTTATTAAAAACTTCGTAACAAAACTCTATAATAATACAATTTATCGATCCGCAAAAAGGTCTATAATTTTGTACAAAAGATAATCTGTGCACGCACGAATTTTGAAAATAGGGACAATTATCCAAAAGACCATTGTACATAGAAGAAATCGCACCCGGATGATCGATACGTTTGAGTGATCATCCCCAAATCCAGACACCGTAATAGCAATGGTAACCTAAGGGGGCAGATCGCAGGTCGAAGAGAAAATTATTTTTGTTATAAAACGTGCCAAGTAATCGAACTGAGGTGGGCCCATTGTTACCGTTTCAGAGTCACGCTGTGATCTAATATAAAAACACATGTTTCCATTAATTTCATAGAATTTGTATCGTGATCGGAATTATGAAGTCTCCGGGTGGTAAATCTACAGCGATGTTCACAATGGTACAGAAGATTGATAATATAACACGTTATCTGCTTTCACTTATTGCCGGTGGAATATTAACGTAAAATATTATTTTCTTATCTAAGTATAATAGTTAGATTATGAACCTTTACAGTAAATGATATTATATTTATCGCCATACGCATGTGTATTGAAGTTGTGACGGCTTTCTTCGCCACCTGTTGTTATAGACTATATAGTTAAATTCAGAAAATAAATACGGCTGGTGTTGAAACAATATTTGAAGGGTCGTATCGTTTTACATGCTGCGGGCCCCCTCAGAACGTGTCGTAATCAAAAATAAAACATAAAAATAAAAAACAAAACAGAAGGGGGAATCGTGCAAATGAAAATTTTAACAACTGAATATGTGATTACTGCAGACTACCGAGTACAGACGGTAGCCAGTTACTAATCATCTCATACAATTCTCTTTCCATTAATGGCGTCGGTAATTATACGTGTCGACGTTACGACGCATATATATCTTATTCAATTAAAAAATCCTAACTATTATTGACTTATACGCCTAATGTTACTATTTATAAACTGGTTTCATCATTATAATGTATAATGTTGCAGAGAACTTAATCCACAAAATGAAAAAAATATTTAAAATTTTAAAATTGAACATTTTACGCAGTTATTTACTTATTAAAGATCTAATGTATTCTTATGTATATTATTATTATGCAATTAAACAAAATTGTTTAAACAGTTTTAGTGGTTTCAATTTATATTTTGTGACATCGAATAAATTTATTCATTTAGGTATAGGTACTTATTCTATAACTGAATAACATTTAATATTTTTTTTGTAACAGTATTATATCTAGAGTAGGTGCCTGGTACCTACAATATATTATATTTATTGTTCAGCCAAAAATAGTTATGCAATTGGAACACACAATACAAAGGAGTTTATTTTCTTTATAAAAACGTATAATATTTTAAAATCTTAATTTTGAATAGTGCACGTTTGAAAATAATTGGCTACTCTACCACATAAGTCACGACGAAAAATCGTTATTCTCACGAAAATATATTGGACAAGAATAAAGTGTATCATTCTAAAGTTAATATTAAAAATTCCATTAATTTTGAATTTACGTTCCCTAATGGTAAATTATATTTTTATGATTATTAGAGAAAACTATATACGTATTTATTAATAAAGTACTATACCTATAGTAGTCRTATAATGGTATAATATATCAAATGCGCATATACGTCTTGCGAGCAGCAGGAACCGATACAAAAAATATCGTTATTTGGGTGGTTATTAATTTATTAAATTAACATTTCTGAATAGAAACGAGATTAATTTTCTGCCACACTTAAGATTATTTCGTATTATTTTACCATTTCATGACATAGCGTTTAATTAAAAATAAACATGAACGGTAGATAGGTAACTTTTTCTTGATCACGATTTGGAGAAAGTAGGTATAATAAGAAAACAGTTCTTTTTAATCGTGTTACAAAACGTCAGTTGAACGTGGAACATCACGAATCGGCGGCCGTGGGGGACATTTTGTATAGAGAAATTGCACAGTGATGTGCGCTTTCGTGGGAACTGATGGTTGAAAAACCATTTATAAACGTTTATCGGGACTTAGGACTCAAAACTATTGCCCTATTATATTTGAAGTCATAACTCACTTATGGGGCGGTTAAGTCATAAGATTTTACACACGCGCGCACGCACACAAACACACATGCTTACAAATATGCATGCCAAAACTATAACAATATCGAATATAATAAATATAAATTCGATTTTATTTTTATTATTATTTTTTTGAATTAGATACGAATTTCATAATTTAAATTTGAAAACCACAATCCTTTAATACGTACCTACATGAATATTCATTTTTTATTTATTATTATTATGAGAAAACGACTATGAATAGAAATTTATTTATCAAAAAAAAAAAAAAAACAATAGTTGTAATAATGATATCGTRTAATAATGTATGTTATCAACATTTTATTTCGTAAATATTTATTTTAATTTTTTTTTTCTACTGAATATGAAAAAATCAGACTAATATTATAACTAGGTCACTTTATASTATCGCAAGCCACAAAACCATTTTCCTTAAATAGGCGTTGATAAGTATAAATAAATAAAAACATTTCTGAATTTTTGCTGAGTATCGTATAACACTAGTATAAAGCTCTTATTCTAATGGTATGTTTTTTATAGATGTAAATGGCTTCATTTACTTCCTACAGTATACCTATGCATATTTTGTTCTACATACATTATTAAAATTTTCGTTATACAAGACGCAACAAAGAATAATGAAAACAGATAGGTGTAGCCGCGTATTGAGGTGTACCACTCTAAGACCTAAGTAGGTATAATCATAATCATATGTTGAACGTACAAGATTATTATAGGTACAACAATGTTACTCTGATTGACCGGAACTTGAAGTATCCCAAACAATATAGGTAAAGTAAAATAATTACTTTATAAACTACACAATGGCCAGTAGCGACAGGAAATCTCATTAATTACTATAGTTTTATATTATTATTATATACGAGTTGCAAGGAAATATTTTGAATGGCATGAGTATTGTATTTGTCGATACAGTTAATTTGCTTATCTTCAAATTATGCAAACGTTGCAGTATAATTTATGAACAGTCAAAGAATGAAATGTTAAAAAATTGGCCACTCAGCGGACGTTGAACAATAAATGTTTAATTGTATTATTGTTCCAAATTCGTAAATAATAATAATTTATTCCACCTACGAGGAAATTTTTTTTTTATCTAGTATTTGAGATAATTATGTGTTCTCAACGGGTGTATTATTTTCTCAGTTTATTTTTTGTGTGTGACAAGGAAAATTGTCTTGAAATAAAAAAAAAAACTGGTTACATTTGACGAACGGATAAATATCATGCCGAATTTGGTGAACCACACGATTCTGGTTTATATCTCATCTGTACCTGATTATATTTTTTTCATTGTCAGTTATAATTAAAACACGGGGGAGGGAATGTATTCAACAGGTCGGTCCGTTTCAAGAGCTTTATTGGAACCAGTTTTGCGCACGTGAYCTAATTGAAGAAAAAAAAAATTGTGTTCAGTCCTGTAAAGGAGTGAAACCTAATTGGCTTTAGATAAAAGACTAAAATATAATATATATATATATATACATCGATTTATCAAGGTTTACAATGGTTAACTGATTTTTATAACATTTATTTTAGTTATCTATTGTTAACCATCAATGTATAACAAACGTATAAGATAAATGTTATTAATAAGTAAAATTAAATATAAAGGTATACTATTAAATATTTTAAACATTCATAAACATTTTCAACTTTACTATATTTATAGCCTTTTTAATATATATCTAAGTTATAAAATTACTTATTTATCGTATTATGTAATATTATAATGTATACCTATCAAAATATATAATTTATTATAATGCAATGCCATTAAGTAATTCACAAATAGAAATACGACAGAAACCATACACAAAGTAACAATGTAAATGGATTGTAAAATTAAACTTTGTTTTTTTTTTCAAAAATGATTAAAATAAATTTAAGCATTTATATTTGTTATCATGATTTTTTTACCATATAATATATTATAAATATAATTATCGAAAAAATACAATGTTTATAATATTGATTTTTAAATGAGATGCGAATACAAACACATTTGTTTCTTTTCCCAATCTTGAAGATTACAAAACACACATTTATATTGACACTATCTATCGTCTATACTCTATATATCGACAATATTGATATCACAAATAAAACTAATTATACATAAACAAATGTGTGGATTTAGTTGTATAAAAAGTTGATTTCTTCTGTATTTAATATATGTTTGAAAATAATTGATTTTTGTGTACACCGTATATATATACAGACATTTAAGTAATTGTAAAGAAATCGTCAAAAAACTACCGTTATACTGCGTAACATCATAAATTCATAACCATAATAATAGCCAYTAGCGACCGATCTAACCATCAGTCRATGTTATAAGTTATAGGTACGTTTGAGCTTTWCTAATATATTTTTGRAAAACTTTCTAGTTTTGAGTAGATCGCTCAATCACGAAATGTATGTAGCGTAATCAGTTGTAAAATCGGGGTGTTTACTATTATAGTGCCTACTATTCGTCCAAAGTCTTTAAGTCATGTCATAATAGTGCCATGTTCAGTAATATTTTACCTTCCACTCCAATCACAGCTGTCGGACGCACGTGACGCCGTGGCCAGGCCCAGCAGGAAAAGCGACACAAACACCAGAACAGCAGTCGTCGTCTCGAAGRCGTAGCGGGGACGGCGTGACGGCCGGACCGCGACACCACCGTGTCCGTCGGGCGAAAACCGCGAAATCGCGGCGACGGTCATTTCCTCGATGGTTCACCCGCGCTTTTGTACCGATATTTGTACAGCCACATAGGTTTACGTTCGGGTTAACTACCGCCACTGCACACCGCGATTATTAACGACGAACAAAAAATGAAAACAAATGTTTCGCCAAGGTTGGTAAAAAAAACGGTCGAAATTCGTAATAATAATTATTTTTAACTGACCGGAAGATGTGCGCACGGATAAAATATGCGCGATCGACTACGACGAGAAAACGATAGATAAACAACGACGTTACGCCGGACGATACGGTTCATAGACGAGTGGATGCCGTCGACTGACTGACCTCGCCRGTTGGTGTTGAATCGTACCCGTAGCCACTCACCGCCGCCGCCGCCGCTCTCGTTCGGTCGCGCTTATATCAGACTAAAAGAGCGCGCGCACGAGCGCCAGATCGAATTCCCCACCCTTCGCACTACCCCTTGGKGGCCGCCGCAGACGATTGGGTTTATTAGAACGAACGTATAAAAGCCGAACCGGTTTGCCGCCGCAGCTTGAGGTTTGGTCCCGCGGGGTTCTCTACACACGTTTCACCGGACTCCACTCCACTCTCCTCTCCGATAAGCTAAAATAATAATAATAATAATAATTTTTACAAAAACGCACCCCGGCGGCGGAACTACGAAAATCGTAATCGTCCCCTCCGGCTAGGAGCTGACCCGTCGAAGCGCGACGGTCAGCAAAACAACCCTCCGGACAGGTTGATTTAGTGCGGTAGGTATATATGCACCTATATATACGTGTAAATATGGTGTGCGGTATTATAGGTGTATATAGTAAGCTATAGTATATTATAATATCTTAAGGCTACAGATTTGGCAAAAGGGATCAATGGWGTTGGGGAGGGGGGTTGGATGCATTTGCGATGTATACCAAACGGTGTATTATTACGTGACGATTCGTGGAAATAATCGCAACTAAACACTACCGTCTACGACTACCATAATATATTACTCTGCGATGCATGGTGCACGTGATTAGTATGACATCGTATAGAGTGGTGCTACGTAATCGTATTAACGATATTAATCTCAAACGAAACGAATACCTATACCAAGTTACACCCCCACACGCAATTCGATGTCTGTCTGGTTCGTTTTCAGAGAGTTCATCATTCAGCCTCAATAGGTAACAATATAAGATGCTGTAGGCTTTAAAAACGYGTGACATGATTTTAATTTTTAAGCAGCTAATTATACGACTGCTGAATTTGATGTAATTTACTGTTTGGACGATAACAAAATATGTCCGTTCAAAATATTGCACTTCGATTTCATGATACTTGGAATGGTAGATACACATACATTAAAWTTACTATTATTATTTAGAATACGCTTCATTTTCGTCATTTTAAGCCCTTTGCTATATGTTTTTATTTYATATAGGTAAGTATGTTCACAAGTATTTCATATGGTACCTATCTAGGTGATCTATCAGATCTATGAAAAATGTTTTTAAATAAATATAKAATAATAGATTTCATTATTATACAATTTATAAAGTCGGTTATAATATTATTCACATAAAATATACATAATAATTACCCGACATATTTTTAAAAAATCGAATAAGCCCCCATACAGTTWAGTAATTTAAAAAATAAGGGATTAAGTTTTAAAATTTCATACAAATATAAAATATATTACGTCTGTGGTTGTCTCCGTAGGAGGGCTGTGCATATTCAGAATATGTGAGTAAAATATGCTTATAAAAGGTCAAAAAATGAATATATATAGTGTTTGATCGATGTGTTTTTATTGTATATTAATGAATAATTATAAAAGGGTCGAAATTATGAATAATWAAATATTGGATAAATTATTTAAAAATTAGATTGCCTTACCTACTCAATATTTCTATGACTGCTAGTAATTCATCAAAATTTCAAAAATGATTTTAAATAATAAATATTTAGATATATATATATATATATATATATAATATTAACATGTATTTATTCATTATTGATAATGATAATTTTAACAAATATATTATACTTAAGTCTTAAATATGTTTTTTTTTATGTTATTCAGGAATATCGCATGGTAATTTTCTTTTTAACCTCTTCGGTACATTGTTAAAGATGCGATGGATGGATGTTGCTAAAATGCTAATATAATATAGTGAAGTTTTGAATGGAATGTTTCAATAATAATTAAATACTAAATAGTATAATTTGTGATTTATCAGCGCATCACTTTCTCTCTTGATAAATCTTAATATCTTAACTTTGGACATTGATATTGAGTTATATATATATATTATATAATATATATATATAAAATATATCAGCATATCGCTTAAATAATGTGGACTCTGATCGAATATTAATTATCTTTTAATTCTTCTTTTTTTTTTTATCAACAATAATAAGCATATTCTACTAGGTATAAGGCTATAATGACTATAGATCGAAAAATGTTCAATTCTATTATTATTTTCAAACTAATTGCCATAGGGTATGTAAAAAGCATACCTACTGCAATTACCATACATGCATATCAATTATCAGTGGTTCTCAAGCTTTTTTGGTTCACAGCACATCATTATACATCACAAGTTTTCGCGGCACACTCAAGACTCAACACAAATGTAATGAAATATATTACTGTTTTCAATATTTTTACCAGCATAGTTACAAATATCAGAAACTTCTCGCGGCACACCTAGTCGATCTCTTATTGGCACAGTATTGTGCCGCGGCACACCGGTTGAGATCTACTGATTTATACTATAGATATTATCTAAACTAAGTGGATTCAAATTAATTAAAATGTACAGTTCTACTTGTGGCACACGGTTTTTTTTTTAAAATTAAAGAACTTGAATACTATTAATTTGTATTTTGTGTAATTTGAATGAACATAATTTAAATGAGAAACACGAAATYGTTAAACGCATTTGTAAAAATTAATTTCAATAAAAATATATGGCTTATTTCATGTAAAGTTATATTTATATAACACACGTATGTATTATAATATAGTCTGGTAGGTTATATAGTCTGTAAGGTTATGATTAAATGCGCCATTACACCTTTAATAGGTATTTGTTTTACGAACAAATTATTATGTTTTTTTTTTGTTTCCCTTTTCTGAAATATATTATTCAGAAACAATAATACAAATTTTAGTATTTTGTATAGTAATTTACTCGTATAACTAAATATAATAATTTTAACTTATCTTCAGAWATTAWAGCTATTGTTTAATTTCTTCGTAGTATATGTAAGTAGGTACATTACCATTATATGTATTAAAATTCTTGTTTATATGTAGTTTAATTATATTCGTTATTTCTTCA